GGGCGGAGCGGCTTCGTGCTCCGCCCCGTCACCCGTCGCAGCCAGAGAGACGCCTGTCACAGCACTCAGCAGACGTCTTCCTTCCTGGCTGGTGGTTGGCTGGTTTAAACACGGCCGACATGGTCTGGTGCGCATGCACGGTGAACGTTAAACAAGTCCGTGTCTTTTAAAAACGCATTGCATATGTTGGCAACCCCAATTAGATTCCAAACAGTTCGGCGCGATTAGACGAGCGCCCCTGAAAAACCTGTTCGGCTCAGAACGCCATTTAGGAACCCGCAGCACAACTGATAATGTCGGACACGGGTCAAGGTCGATGTCCGAGATGTGTATGCATGAAACACAGGGACAAATGAGTAACGGCGGACATAATGAACGCTGATGTGCATGCACCTATTAGAAATGGTGTGGAAACACCTATGATCTCTGCCATTTTTGGCTTGATTTAGTAGTGCAATGGCGTCGTGTGATGGAACTTATCCAGAAATGGATCTTTGCATCCCTTAAAGGCCTGTTGCTTGACTCGCCCCTGCACACGGGGTATGTCGCGGTTATGCAAGCCGCTGCGGCCTGAAGCCTGGCGCCGCTGCAGAACGCTGCCTCATTTCCGCGTGCCGAAAATGGCACAGTGGCCTGCTAGCTCGAAATGACACACAACTACTGCCCCGTGTAGGACTTGGCGTTGGCGAACCCGAAGCGTGCTTCCTTGTTGCTAAGTGGAGGAGACACTGAACAAAACAGTCATTTTCGGAGAGGCTGACACGCAGACATTGAGTGTGAATGTCAAAGTGCATCGTCAACATGTGCATTGTGCATGCAATGCACATGTCAAACATGTGCACTGAGTGTGCATATAGATGCACATAACTCCTAAGGGAATTCCAGGAATGCCTCCCTTGTTGCATGCATGTTGGTGCATCGCCGTCTTGCGTTTTGCGCAGACATTTTACGTCTGTGGCATTAGTCTTTCGGCGGCTGGAAAACAATCTATCAAGCTCGGTCACGGTCCAGATATTTCATTGCCTCCTGCGTCATTGGTGCCAGAAAAACAACACTACCTGCTTTCATTAGAGGGAACTATGTGTCAGCATAGCATGTAGCTGGCCCGATCGCGTGTCATATCTAGTACGGGCGTGCAACGCATGATGATCACAATAAGCGTTTGCACAGCCTATGGCTTCAGATATGGTAAAAACGAAAACATGCACCAGCGCCACTGAATGTCACGCGACGAATTTGATTGCGTCATGTCTTTCGCTTGCGTTGTGACGCAACAACTGCCGCCCGAGCTCTGTCCTGTGCTTACTATATTCAAGGTCCATTGAACCAGACATTGTCTAGCCGTTTGCAGTACTGGCATGTTTACGCTCTCTTCCTTCTATTCTGATCAAGTTTCCGCGTGCTTCGAGACCCTGACATACCAAGTCCCTTCTTCCTTCCTTTCCGCGTTTACCTCAGTGTGCGGGCAAACATTGATCGTGTATGGCACCTGAAATATGTATGTGCGAACGTCCAGCACACATATCCCCATACTAGTTCTTTAAATTTAGCAACGTACCGTGCCGTGCCGTGCCGTGCCGTGCCGTGCCGTGCCGTGCCGTGCTGTGCCGCGCTCCTGACACGCCGTGCCATGCTGTGCCGCGCTCCCGACGTGCCGTGCCGTGCCGTGCCGTGCCGTGCCGTGCCGTGCCGTGCCGTGCCGTGCCGTGCCGTGCCATGCCGTGCCATGCCGTGCCGTGCCGTGCCGTGCCGTGCCGTGCCGTGCCGTGCCGTGCCGTGCCGTGCCGTGCCGTGCCGTGCCGCGCTCCCGACGTGCCGTCACGCTGACCTGCTGTGACCCAGACGTGACATGTCTCTGACTTCCCGTACTCATGTCTCGTCGTGCCCTGGCATGCCGTACCCCCGACGTGCCGTGCTTCTACTGTACCGAGCTCCTGACGTGCCGTGCTTCTGCTGTGGTGAGCCACTGACGTGCTGAGTCCTTAACGTGCCGTGCCGTGCCGTGCCCTCAGGACTATGGCCGTGACCTACACAGAGGAGCTGGTGAAGCCGCTGAAGGGCCTGCTGGACACGCAGCACAAGGTGCGCAAGTCGGTGGAGGGAATGGTGGACAAGACGGCCAAGAGCCTGGCCGAGTGGCGGTCGGCCGAGGCGAAGGCTAAGAAGCTGTCGTACCAGTGTGCGCGCGAGAGCGAGCGGGCGGAGGAGATGGCACTGGAGGCGCGGCTCGGCAGGGGCAAGCCCACCGGCGACAAGGAGACCAACAAGGTGGGGCACCTGGTCAGGGCAGCAGCTCCCGCACGCACAGAGTGCGGCTTGGGAAGGCGCACATTATGTGAAATCTCACGTAATGTTGATGTTTTCAGGTAAACTGTACGGCGTTCGAAGTTTGAAATTTAATCCTGGGTCTTTTTTTAAACGTCCCCAAAAGTTCGAGAAAAATCCGTAGGTTAGTCTTTTCTTTGTCCAGCCACTCACCTTCTTGTAAAACTGCACTCCTGGACGTGAAAAATCAATGGTCCTCATGCAGACCAGGTAAGTTTTCGTGGCACAAGCTTTTCCAATACGGGTCACAGCATCAAGCATTCAACACTGTTTTCGGAGAAGGCGACGTTGGAGGCTTTCCGGTCAATCCCATGCATACCCATGGGTCAGTTGATCTGATATATGTATACATATATATATATATATATATATATATATATATATATATATATATATATATATATATAAGTGGCTTGGCCAGTGCACTCATGTACACCGTTCAGTTCGCTGCACGTCTTAATCTGCTTTGCCAGCTGATATCTGACATCGAGTATTTAAAACACCCGAAACGATAGGATCTACGACTTGCGCTCGACGGTGCGTGGCCGTCTGTGGACATCGATCTACACTTTTTCCGATACGATTGTCCAGTTTCTCCCCCGTCAGTATATGTTAGAATCTTGTCGCCGCGACCCCGTCCGCCGGAATCTGAAGCCAGTTTCTCCCGTGTTCTTCAGCTTTTCGTAAGTTGGAAGTTTTACGTGTTTTATGTCTAAAAGACCTGTTGTAACACGAGAACATGTCCAGCAGAGAAACCCGAGACTCAGATTAAACGGAGAGGCTGCCGCACCTGGACCGTGTCCGCATCGAGCATGGCTATCAATGTTTTAAATTACGCGCCACTGTCCAACGGAGCGGGGCGCTGGGCGAGTTGTGAGGTGCGGGCACTTTCTCGGAATTTCGTAAGCGGATAAGAGAGTGGTTGGTCGCGGAGCGTTACATGCGAGGGAAACGAGCGTTTCTAGACGGCAGCATTTTTAACGTCAGTGCTATATAACTGTGTGTTTCTTACCGTATACCTTGAAGTTTTACATGTACAAATCCTATTTGCATGTACCTGTGGCAGTTGCACTGAAAACTCGTCTTTGTGGAGGACATAAGGGCATATGATGATGATGAGATAAGGATAATTATATTAACTGGGCGGTGGAAATGAAACTGTGGTGGTGATATGATGCCACCGAAAATTGCGCCTGATTATACAACTAATGCGCAAATGCTGAACACGTCGTACAGCGGAACCGTTACACAACTGCGCTTGCGTTTCCTAAAAACTGTTTTTAACTATGTCTACTAACTAAATGGTCGCAGAGGCACCAGCTTTGATCTAGAAGGCATGACAGGTTGTCTGGGTCAGCCTTCTCTTTCTCTTTGTGTGTTTAGAGGGACACGACCCACGTCATCACGCCCCTTTTATGGAGCGCCCGCGACTGCATTTGTCATATTAGCGCTCGTATACTGTGGCGCGAATGGGATTCGAACCCGGCCCCCTCGTGGGAGCCATGGCATGATAGTTGAAGTACGACTCGCTATCCCCGAGGTGTCGCCCATAATGGGTCGGCTTTCTTAGTATTCCTTTTGCCTATGTTGTCCGGCACCAGGTCTAGTCTTTCGCCACCGACGATAGCCTCGAGATGGCTGTCGTATCTCTGCGGTGTATCAGGGTCTAACCTTCGGATCGGAAAAAAAATATGCTGCGGTCGATGATCCTGGTCAATCCCAACCACGCTGAGTTAACGGTCGTCTGATTAATGACGTAACAGGTCATGGCATGTCTCTTAGAAGTAGCAAACGTCTTCGAACGGCGTCAGGGTTATCTAGCGCCCGTGTATTGGATGCAAGTTATGTGACTGGTGTGAAACGAACGTGTTCTTGCGCTTCAAATTCATACCAAAATGCTAGGAAAAGTAAAGGATTAAGGTTAAGGATCAATGTTGAATATTGTGTTATGTTAATAATGATTGTCTTAATTTGTCCGTCCCGGTGTCCGTCCCGGTGACTCAGTTGGTTAGAGCGCCTGCCTTCCGACCCACCCACGCGTGGCTGGGTGGGTTCGAGTCGCTTTAGGGCGCTCGCTATTTGCCCCTAACAGGCATGGCCTGCGGCCGGTGGCAGCGGTTGCGCTAAAGGTCAGTCAGAGGACAGGACGGACCGTGCCGAGCATTGCGGCACGGTAAGCTGTCGCCACTAAATTCTGTCGTTGCCTGGAATCGCACGATCGGATGGTGGGGGTGAGGGCTCACACAACAAGCACTGCTTAGCGTGAGGGCTGATCCCAGAAATCCATCCATTCGAAGGGTTGGATCAAATTTTAATAAAAAAGGAAAAATGTTAGGTCAAGTTCAGGCGAGCCATTGAATTTAATTTACGTGCGCTTTCGGCTCGCATGCTGTATACAACCGAGTGGTTTGTATTACCATCTTCTGTGGTACAATTAGTCGCAATAATTAGTTCTAGTCCAGCGCTCATGATCTAACCTAGAATGACCACCGATTGAGGTCATTTTTGATTTCGTGTCGGTGGGGCTTTACGGACTCTTCTATCGCCAGCCGGTGAAAATAATCAATCGATTACGTTAAAAAGTCAATAACAAGAAAGGCAGCTTCATTTGGATGCACAAATGGCCGCGTAGGCTTTTTTGATGACGCTAGAGCTCAGTGAACCGAACTAACATTAAAAACGTTTTTGCTTCAGTCTGTGTGAACATGATCGGCATTCAAGAACTAAAGATATGGTGGACATACCTTGTGCTGTTCAGATGACATCTAGACTCGGAGTAATTTCCCCAGACAAGCAAGGGGTGTGGCAAGAGATTGATAAATAATATCAGTCAACAGGAGCTAACTGTTTTCACCATCAGTTAGAGGTTTGGGCCTCATTTTTGAAAGGAGATGTACAAATGAGTAGATTCTTTTTCATCGTTCAGTTGTGTTTTGATGTCGTTGCGACACTTCTCCGACTGTTTCACTGGATGCTACTCTCCAGTCTGCAGAGCTGAGACTCATCAGCGTGTCGGCTGTACCTGTCCACACGAGGGAACTGAAAACCTGCAGCATGACATCAAAGCTGTGCTGCCGTACGTCACACGTGCAAAGTCGCATAAAGAAGCCATACATTCACCTGAAGCGTACCGTAAAATGCTGGACGCTGCAGAGTTATGCAATCGTTCATCTTAAACGGGGGTGCAACTCAACGCAGCCAATTTACATACGACGCCCAACCGGAATTTGCAAAGGAAAGTGATCATCTGCAGATATTGCCAGGTGAAAAACGAGCAACTTGTTCCACCGCGAAAATGGGTGCGTGTGAGCGCAGCAGCACCGTGACAGAGCGGCAATGGTGACGTCACTGGTCTGATCGTGTTGTGACGCCCGCAGGTGGAGAGCAGGAGGCAGAAAACAGAGAACGCCATGGGCAAGGCGGATGCCGACTACTATAACTTCTGTCTGCGGGGAGAGCGGGCCCGGTGAGCCATGCAGGCGTCAAAGTTGGCGATGTGGATATCTGCCGTTTTCAGCTGCAGCTAACGTAGCCAGTAATACGCATGCAAGTTAAGCAAGCCTGCTTTATAGACGATGCTCGCTGGTGTGTTGAAAATATGGACGATCCTGACATGGTTCCTAAGTCACCTTTGAGCTCCTGATATAAAAGGAAATGCAAAGCTTCTAGAATCAAGTTTTGTGAGGACGTACATGAGTTTTCACATCCTGGGCATACACCAATGCGTTTTTTTTGTGCTGCTTCACTTTCCAGGATGATAGCTTATACGTTACATCGTGCGGGTGGCCTTGGAAAGAGCCCAGGTATTCTATGTGGGAGTCTCGGGCACGTGTCCTGTTCAGCGCCTCACAAGGCGGCTGTCGGGAGCGGACTGAGACCGCTCTGAGCGGACAGAGCGGACTGAGACCGCTCTGAGCGGACAGAGTGGACTGGACCGCTCAGGCGGACAGAGCGGATTGCGTCCGCTCTGGGCGGACAGAGCCAACTGAGACCGCTCTGGGCGGACAGAGCGGACTGAGACCGCCCTGGCCGGACAGAGCGGATTGAGACCGCTTTGGGCGAACAGAACGGACTGAGACCGCTCCGGGCGGACAGAACGGACTGAAACCGCTCCGGGCGGACAGAGCGGACTGAGACCGCTCTGGGCGAACAGAGCGGACTGAGACCGCTCTGGGCGAACAGGACGGACTGAGACCGCTCCGGGCGGACAGAACGGACTGAGACCGCTCCGGGCGGACAGAACGGACTGAGACCGCTCCGGGCGGACAGAGCGGACTGAGACCGCTCTGAGCGAACAGAGCGGAGGTAATCGGCGGGCGACAGCCTCCGAGAGAAGTTGTGAACAGCACTTATGACCGAGACTCCCGCATACAGTACCTCGGCTCTGTCCGATCCCCGTCCGCCATATACGCAGGTCATCAACCCAGAAGATCCAAAAAGTCATCGCGCCCTTTCATCCAGGAGCTCTCCGAGGACTCCGTCTAGCTGATCCGGCTCCATACTATCAGCCCCATTTCAGCTGCTCTGCCCGCTCGTAGCCGCCCTGCTGACTGTGACCTGCTGTGACGCTCGGCCGTCTTCCGCCGCAGGTTGGAGTGGGAGACGGCCGTGAACAAGGGCAGCCAGTGCTTCCAGGCGCTGGAGGAGGAGCGGCTGGTGCGACTGCAGTCCGTCCTGCAGGCCTATCATCAGAACATGGCGGCGCTCGCACCTAAGATGGCGCAGGTCAGTTTCAACGTCAGGTTTTCTTTGTCCCATCACGCCATCTGTCGCGAATGACACTGTAGGGCGAACGAGTTTTCTTGCACCGATACTTTTTACGCTTGAGCGGCTCGGCCCTTCCCTGTCGTCACGCTTTCTGGACGCAAATATCTTTGCATTCACCGATTGCATATCCACGTGGTTTTCAGCGACGTGAATTGTAGTTCTTGGCATGTTTCTTCGTGTAACGTGTTGGGCATTTGTATGCAAGCTGCCTGGTCGGACAGCTATCTCCTGCAAAAATTTCGGTATCGCAATTATGTATTATGTCGTTTGATTACTTGGCGCTTACTGGCGCTTATCTGGCGCTTTCTGCTTTTGCCGGAAACGCGCAGTTTTCTCATTTCAAAACAGGTGAAGAACAAAAGTCGAACCGGATCTAGATAGCGATGGCCCCGCGGGGCAGGCTGGTGGCTACGCCAGACTAACTGGTTGTGACAGAGCAGAAGATGGACAACTGCTTTAGCTAGGGATTGTGCCGGTGTCAGTGTCAATTGGCACGTGCTCTCGCGTGCAAACCGAGACTGCCCACCCGTGATGAGACGAACGACAAGGTATGAGACTGGTGATGAACACGCGACACCAGCTGCGGGGGAAAGGTGCTGTCGGCTACAACTCTCCAGCGGATTTCAAAACTGTGCTACGCTAAGGCACGCCAGCAGCCGACTTGGAAGAGGATAATGGGATATTTATCGAAGCCGATGCTGAATGCAAGATGTTGTAGCGTGTCGAAATTTTATGGAAGGGTTAGTTTCCGATGGACTGATCAAACAGATTGGTATGGGTTGTCCAAGGTCTTTGGTTCTATCGCCCTATTTTTGGCGCAATTTAAACTATGACAATTGATATCTTAACGTCAGTTATCGTATCGCTCTTTTTCCGCCGCACACGGCACATTAATGGTCGTCTGATCCAAACCATTCCCTTTTGGAATCGCTATCATTCTAGCCTTAAATTGCTTTCGGGCCTCCATTTTCGAGGCCGCTGCAGTTTTCCGTTGTTTTCCACTCGTGCCGCCAGTGCTTCCAAAAGCAGCAAGGGCCGGGATGGTAATCTCACCATGAAAACATTCTCAGAAGACGACAACACTGCCATGCAAGCGAACCGTTCGAGCATAAACACCCTCTCTCTCTCTCTGTGGCCGGCAGCCTTGGCCACGTCTCCCAATAAGGTGCTGACGTGGACTGACTCCCCTGCCGGTGACGTGCGCTCACTCCCCGGACGGTGACGTGCGCTGACTCCCCTGCCGGTGGCGTGCGCTGACTCCCCTGCCGGTGGCGTGCGCTGACTCCCCTGCCGGTGGCATGCGCTGACTCCCTCGCCGGTGACCGCAGAGCGCTGAGCGGCTGGCCGAACCGGTGACGTGCGCGGACGTCGACCGGGACGTGCAAACCGTGCTGCACGTGAAGGGTGCTGGGCAGGCCACGCCCGAACAGCTGCTGCCCGACTTCTACGCCGAGAACATGACCAACGCCATGAATCGCGAGCGACGGAAAAAGGCGAGTCGTGGCGGCCGAGCCGGCGGGCTCTCTGGTCGTCCCGCGGGGATAAGAACTGTCAGTATGACAGACCATGACATATGACAGACCATGACATATGACAGACCATGACATATGACAGACCATGTAATATCGGCTCAGATCGGTATGAATAGAGCAGGGGCGCAGCCATGGGAGGGTCCGAGGGGTCCGGGTCGGCAACTTAGGCCTGGATTTTTCGTTCGTCACCGTGTAGGGCGCTCGACAGGAAGTTCAAAATCGGCGTGATGCGCTCTCGCCGAACTCCGAGCCCGCCTGAAGAAAATCCTGACTGCGTGCCTGGGACAGGGCGTGAGCGTTTTGCTTTTTGCAAGTGTTCACAAAGCCGTCAATGAGAGTTCTCGGATGTGATGGTATCGGTTACATTATTTTCATAGAACTGGTTGACAGGCCATATTTGCTCTTCTAAAACGTGTTTACCTGTTGGTTCGGCTGCTTTCCCATCTTTCAATTCTTGGGAAAAATTACGGCTGCAGAAGTTTGCAGAAGAAGTGATGACGTGAGTCAGCTGGTGATGTTTGACACCATTCACCGCAGGCTCTTGAGCAGTTCCTTCAGCTGATTCGTCAGGACGTGGGGCGGGAGAGACGAGGTAAAGATGGCGTGGAAAATCTGGCGAAGGCGATGCAAGAGGCTCCTCACTTCGGCAACGAAGGCTCCCAGAAAGACGTTCACGAAAAACTGCAGCACGTGAGTCGAACTATGTCGTTTTCCCGCCCGTGCTATACTGAATAAATAGTTGCTGATCGTTTCAGACCCATGCAACTGTCACAGTTATGAGCCATAAACTCCCACGTCGGGTTCGCGATCGTGCCCGTTAAATTCATACAAGTGATCATGGGTACAGGTCATAATGCATCTTGTGAAGTAGCAAGACCGAGATAATTGATATAAAAGCATAAAGTGATTATTTACAGCGCTGGTAGTCATCAATGGCGTCCGAAAGTCAGCCCGTCAAACAGTAGATGCTAGCAGATTTGAGCTGCGCTTTTAAGCTTGCTGCCGTACGGTTTACACATTTGTGTCATGGCTGAGGCCACATTGCCGTGCGCACCGACCTGAGACTGATGCCACAAGGACGCTCGTCGTTCTCGCTCGCCTGATTCTCAGCGGAGCCGCGTCTGTGCCGTCGTTCTCGGTCGCTTTGTCCCCAGCGGAGCCGCGTCTGTGCCGTCGTTCTCGGTCGCCTGATTCTCAGCGGAGCCGCGTCTGTGCCGTCGTTCTCGGTCGCCTGGTCCCCAGCGGAGCCGCGTCTGTGCCGTCGTTCTCGGTGGCCTGATTCTCAGCGGAGCCGCGTCTGTGCCGTCGTTCCCGGTCGCCTGGTCCTCAGCGGAGCCACGTCTGTGCCGTCGTTCTTGGTTGCCTGGTCCCCAGCGGAGCCGCGTCTTTGCCGTCGTTCTCGGTGGCCTGATTCTCAGCGGAGCCGCGTCTGTGCGTCGTTCTCGGACGCCTGGCCCCCAGCGGAGCCGTGTCTGTGCTGTCGTTCTCGGTGGCCTGATTCTCAGCGGAGCCGCGTCTGTGCCGTCGTTCTCGGACGCCTGGCCCCCAGCGGAGCCGCGTCTGTGCCGTCGTTTTCGGTTGCCTGGTCCTCAGCGGAGCCGCGTCTGTGCCGCCCTCAGATGCGCGCCATGCTGGCCTACCTGGAGGCGAGTCGGTACAAGATCCAGGTGGCGCTGGCAGAGGTGGAAGGCCAGACGCGGCCTCAACACCCGCTCAGCAAACACATCCAACACCACAAGGACCGGCAGGGCATGACACAGAGTGTACTCAAGGTTAGTACGCCCGGCCGCCGTGCGGCAGCGCTGGTTACGGGTGGTGTGAGTCGCACGGAAAATTGCCAGCAAGCCAAATGGAGTCGCCGATAGCCGTCGGCTGTTTATAGAGCTAGGCTGTGTGGCTGGAATGGTCACAGTACTATGTATGCGTTACGTCGTATGCTAACTGTACACGGTTGGACTTTTGGTGTCGGTAACAGCTCGCGCGGCATCTCTGGCGGCCAGGTGCCGAACTGGGTGCGGCTGGACCCGCTGAACCTCTCACCGGAGGACTCCCCGGACTGGGCCACCGACCGGGGCAAGGCGGATGGCACCTCCAACCAGCACGAGTCAGACTTCGGTACGCACGCCATACCAGAGCGATGCCTTTGTGATGCAGCAGCAGGTGGCAGCGACATCTGTAGCTGCACGGGCATTGCTGAATAGCCCCCTATTTGACCGTCCTATTTGGTTTAGGTATCGGAGGTAGTTTTGGGGATTTCCTCTATTGCAGATACTGGAGTAAACCGGCCTTCTTTAACCAGTCATCACCTGGGTTTTTCGCCTAAAACGCTGGAGGCTTAGAGTTCGTCTGATGTGACCAACACAAGGCCCAACAACCAAAACATCCGTTGCCCTTGCCCAACAGACGAATTCAGCAGCCACGGTGACCAATCACCGCCGACGCAGCTCCCGCTGACGTCATCACCGCCGCCAGCTGACTCGTCCAGTGAGCAGCTGACGGCGTCTCCCTCGCCTGTGGAGCCGGCGCCGTCCATCGGGCGCTGCAAGGTGCTTTACGACTACAAGGCCAACATGAACGACGAGCTCACCATCAAGGCCGGTGGGTGTGCTGACGGCACCCGCCGCTGGCGACTGCAGCAGTATCCTAGCTGGTGTCCATCTCACTGACTACCCTGGCGGGGCAGTTGTTCCGTTGTTTCTGTTTATGGCTTGACTGAGGGAAGGAGTAACATACTTCGGAAGACGGAAGAAACGGAAGAAAGCGGAGAACTGCCGGTTATGCTCTTGTTTCCCGCCTCCATCGACGCGAGTGACTGCGACGATGTTGTCCAGACCAGGTGCATGAGTCGTCGTCTGATCCAAAGCCTTCAATCATTCGCGTGCGAAAACGACCAAACACCTGCCTTACGAGGTTACAGCTGGAGCTTAAGTGTAATGTATCACTATCGGACGAAATGGTTAGGCATGTCCAATAGTCCAACTCATGTTATTGCCTGCTGCGGTTCTGTTGCCCCGGACCCCGTCGCGCTGGGGCTGACCTCGTCCGCTGTGCCCAGGTGACGTCATCAACATGCACGACAAGCAGGAGGACGGCTGGTGGCTGGGAGAGTTGAACGGCACCGTCGGCATCTTCCCCGCCACCTACGTCCAGGAGCTGACCTGACCACGTGACGCCACGCAGCGTCCGGCGGCGGCAGCCGGCGACGTCACGTGACTGCGAGTCACCTCGCGAGATGTCGCCACCGTGTGGTTCCACTGAGACTTGAGCGGGCTCGATCAGTGGTGTTTGTGATCACGGCGCTGCGCGCGGCTGATAGTCTGGCTGGGAGCCCACACGACTTGTGCCGACCTTGCCTGGAGTGGCTGCTGATACCACAAGAGCTCGCCGATGTAGTTAGTATGTCTGCATTGCCGTTCTTTGTAAAGTGTTGACCATGAAGCTCGCTGAAGCTATGTTTGTACCATTTTGAGGCAGATGACTAACAAGCAGTGCTGTTGGTCCCTTGCTGGTGAGTTAATGTGATGATAGAACAGATTACTTGCCTGAAATGTATCTGGGTAATATACGACTGCATGAACTGCATCGAGCACACTGCAAATAAGAAAATAAATGCTTAGCTACCATGCGGAGGGAGCAATCGCAGTAAGTTGCTCACTTTTCCTGTCCAGCAATGTGTCGGGTCCAGCCAATTAGTGTCCGGCCGTTTGTTACAAAACAGTAACAAACGACAACGAAACTGAAAACGGAGCCGTAGCCATATCGCCGGTGCGTATGGCTATTTGCGTTCGTCATATCGTCGTGGCACAAGGCGGCGGGAGCACGTGAGCCCAAAGGTCACGTCGTCATTCGCGACAGCGCCAGACACAGAGCCAGGGCCAGAGCCACTGCCGTCTCAGTTGTGTGTGTTTACCACAGAGCCGGTCCCGAGATGCATCGTGGCTGATGGCACGGGCTCGGTACAAAACGCCACATGCGAATTGCGCTACTGGTGTCCGTATCCTCCCTCCAAAATCAGGGGAACAGCATCACGGGATATCCCAGGATCATGTCGTGACACTCGTGGCACATTCTGCGTAGCACCACGTGTTTAGAGCATGCCGTGACATGGGGGCACTCGCACCGCGAAAACTTGGGCTCCAGACAGGCAGCCGTGGACAGTTCAGCTACACTATTGTCAGCAGCGATGGCCGATCCTCTGGTCTGGTCAGAATCTCGAGCGATCGGACTGACTGCGTTTCGCCGACAAACCAGCCGCGATGGTTCTGTGTGTTGTCCTGCAGCTTGACATTCGACGGGCCGCTGTACAGAGCGACAGCCCAGCACAGACAAGGTTGCTCCGTCGCGTGGAGGAACATGTAGCTCGCTGTCGCCGTGAGCAAACCCACCGTAGGACGGACCCTCCCATCGCAGGACATCTCTGTTGACCTACACTGAGTGGAATGTCAACGCGCCTGCAAGCGGGAGGGGCTGGCGGTCTGTTTATCGGGCGAACCATCGGCGCCTCTTAGGCCTTGAACTGAGGACCGCGCCAGGCCGGGCCAGACGGCCCCCTAGCGACGCGCTCACTCGCAGGTCTCTGGTATCCGAGGCAACCGGGGGCGACTGCTCCGTGGCGCAGGGCGAGGGAATCTCACCGCACGAGGAAGTCAGGGACGCGGACACGACAGCAGGAGCCATGAAGCTGGTGCAGTGCACTTACCAAGCGCGGAGTCGGCTGGGGCTGCTGACGGACGGCGACAAGGCAGTAAAGCTGCTCTCTGAGGAGACGCTGCCGACCAGCACCGTGCAGCTGCTGGAGCTGGGGACGCCGGCGCATGTGCGAGAGCTGCTACGCGCCGCTGAGAGCTCAGCACCAACGGTGCCGCTGGCCGAGGTCCAGCTGCGCGCGCCTGTGACACGGCCCGACAAGGTGCTTTGCATCTGCATGAATTACGTGGACCTTTGCGCCGAGCAAAACCAGCCGGTGCCCACCGAGCCGGTGGTGTTCAACAAGTTTCCGAGCTGCATCGTCGGCCCGGCGGACGACATCGTGCTGCCGTCGGCGACGAGTCAGCTGGACTGCGAGGTGGAGCTGGCCGTGGTGATCGGGCAGCGCTGCCGGGCCGTCAGCCGGGAGCAGGCCGCCGACTACATCTTCGGCTACACGGTGGCGCACGACGTCTCGGCGCGGGACTGGCAGCTGCACCGCAACGGCGGCCAGTGGCTGCTCGGCAAGGCCATGGACACGTTCTGCCCGCTCGGGCCGAGCCTGGTGACGGCCGACGCGCTCGAGCCTCACGCTCTGGCGCTCGCCTGCCGCGTCAACGGCGCCACGCGCCAGAACAGCACCACGCGCCAGCTGGTGTTCGACTGTCATCAGGTGGTGGCGCACATCTCGCAGTGCCTGACCCTGCTGCCCGGCGACGTCATCTTGACAGGCACGCCGCCCGGCGTCGGCGTGTTCATGAAGCCGCCGCAGTTCCTGCAGCGAGGGGATGTCGTCGAGGGTGAGATTGAAGGCATCGGCACCATCCGCAACCGGGTGGTCTGAGCGGCGCCGGCGGTGTGTGACTTCGCGCGCTGGAAACGGCCCCACAAATAGGTGGGCATTGTTCTATTATCATGGTGAATGTAAAAGAGATGTTCCCATGCTCACATGGCCAGCGACGACATTCCATTCGCGTCACTCCTGCCAACCGGGACACTCATGAGTGGCAATACACCGCACGAAACGTCACGTGGAGTCTGCCTGGCGAAAAACGAATTCGACACGGGAACGGGGAAGCATCATCTGGTCTCCCGTGCCACATCTCGTATCATAGCATCCGAACAGAATCTTCACCATGGCAGGCATTTCGATACGCCGGGAGGCGGCGGATCGAGCGTCTGTTGCAAGGTGTAATCAGCAACGGATATGTCAACATTAGCACTTAGATTTGGATCAAGTCCTCGTGTCGTGTGTTCCAAGGCGACCCGTTTACTGTTTCAGTAGATGTTGGCTCCTACTCGATAGGGCCAAAGGCATGTTTCGTACGCTGTCACGTTCTGACATCTTATGCATAGGGTCACTCGGTCAACTGCTGGCCAATGATTACGGGCCCGCCTCTCTGCTTCCCAGCCTCCAGACATTTCAGCATGCCGAGCCTACAGAGATGGATGCGCCGTCATCAGGTCCTCGCAGTGGGACGACTTGAGGAACGGGATGTGGTGCTGGTCTCAGTCCGATCAGCATCGAGTGTCACATGCCACGTCTCGCACTCCGGGGAGGGGATGTTGATTTTGGTAAATTATGGGGGCTGAACCGAGGGGCCGACAACCTACCCTTCATTCTGTCTTACTGGATTTAGCCCTCTTTATTTGGCTGTACGGCAATATATGCCTCTAATTTTGGTAAAATTTAAGTCTTTAATTTAAGTAGCATACTAGTCATGCAGAGGTAGATCCAGCGAGCAGACAATGGACACACGTGCCCCTTCTGATCGGCAAGTAAAGGCGCTCCTTTGGAGGTCACCTTAGGGCGCCGAGGGCGCTCTTCTATAGCGGCCATGAGAGGCAGCACGTATGTTGGTTGTGGGGTGTGGGGATAGGGTTAGCCATGAAGGACTTAGGTCATCCCTGTACTTCACAGTTTTCCGCTAAACCTCGCAGACCCATGCGTATCTTATGGTGTAACTTAGGTGTGTAAGGTTTATTGCATCGCTCATCCGTTCAGCTGCTTTTACGACTTTTATCTTGTGAGAGCAGCCACGACTTTTTATGACGAGGAGAAGGAGGGGTCTAGTATTGATAGGTGCACAGCTACATGCGAGAAACGTATGTTTCAATCAAGAGGTAAATATCCGGCTGAATTAACCAGCCATTGACCAGGGGAGGGTCAAATCTATCCACCACCCCCACCCCCACCCCCTCCCTGTGCAATATTCGTGATACTTCAGAAACACCTTGAGGTATCGCTGCGGATGTTTCAGTGGCTGTTAATTGATGAGTTCTACGCCATGTGCAGTTATAACTGGAAGGAGACCATAACAAATTAAGCGTGAGTGACGTCAAAGTGGAGTCATGTTTACCGATTTTCGACAACAGCTCTTGCTCACGTGCCTGATAGCCATAATTCGCGCTCAGATTGTTCAAATATGACGACAATAAATAGGCCAAAAAAGACATAGACGACGGTTTTAGCTCTCATTCGGGCGGCATGTGACCTCGGCTCTAGCATGGTAAGACGCGCCTGTCATTAGATACCTTCCTACGTAGCATCTTTGATCAGGGCGCAACGATTTCACGCCGTGAGGTACGCTTATAAATGAAATGCGTTGTGGGGGAGGCCGGATGTTTCAAAGAAACATTTTAAGATTTGACCTTGATCTGTAATCCTAACACACACTTAGACTTAAGCTTTTGTTGTTGTTTGGTACAGCAAAACGAAACGCGGTGTGTGGTTTCAGACCGCACACCGCGGTGCTACCTACTACTGCATGAATTTTGAATTTGGCCTTGCCGTTCTTGAGAAAGGTAGGGGGTTCAAATCTGCCCCCCTCGGGTCAATGGTGTGCCGCGGAGGAGCCCGCTCACTGCTGGTTTAACGGTTCCAGCAACCAGGTTTGGGGGTCAAGCCACCCGACCCAATTACACAAACTACTCCAATTTTGCTATTGTCCTTAGCTGCGGTGCCCCCTTCCGCAGCAAAACAGTGCCGCTTTATTCAAATTACGATATTCTGTACATGCGAGGGATGTATGCAATTTTTGGCTTAATTTGTCACCGTAGAGAATTTTCAAACTTCACATTTTGTCGTGGCATCAACGTGTCACGTCGATCAATACTCTTATGGGATTTAGGTTGAAAGCAAACGGCTTACATTAGATACATAAAAATACATTGTGAAACAACGTTGAGGATGAATTTACTGCGAGCACGGTGTAAGTATACGTGTGCTTTTAATAGGATCACCACATACCAACTCACTATTAACACGCACTCGGGTCGTGCATCAGTCTAACCCTCCCCGAAGGTTTTCCAGAGTAATTTTTGACCGGTACGGTGTAGCCGTTCTATCCTATGTAGGTGTATATACGACAAAAGCACCTTTCTATGGGACTCCAGCTACATTAACGACCAACCTTTGGCGGGGCGTAGCCACGCCCAACTTTACATACCGATGTCAAATCTGAACTCCTTTGTCAATGGAGAACGAGCTTTAAGTGGCAGATTTATGCGCCTCTCGAATTTCTTGATCAAAGGGACGTCAACAGACATTTTATATGAACTTCTTGCAGGACATAGGAGGTCTCTACCTAAAACAACCTATATCAACCGTTCTTTGGGAGCATAACGTCTAACACATTCATTCACGGTTTTTTAACACACCGTCTAACGTATTTATTGATACTCATGTCTTAAAAATATAAATAGCTTGGTTTAGGCTTATAGGATCTTTAGGTTCTTAATAGAATTTTGGTCATGATGACCGTCTAAATTCGAATAAGGTCACTGACCCGAAATGATCAACAGTGTTCTTTTGCTTAAAACAGGTCTCTAGGGTTAAGGCGGTTGGATGAGGAGTTCTGGAGTCACTCCGAATACCGATCTGGAGTTTGACTTTATTTGCCCCAACGGTCAGAGGGTATTGTGACCTGATCTACCAGGCCT